AGGAAACAGACAGTCGAAAAGCTTCCCCGACAGTTCTACAAGCCAAAGCAGAACCACCGAGAGCCACCACATCAGTCATTCATCCGTACACCACGTCCGGGCGTTGATTCATCCCAGCTGCTAGGTTGGAAGGATTACGACCCCCGCTATCGTTGCAAATCAGACCGAGGACATCGTCAAAGACGCAGGAAGAAAGGGAGAATACGCACACACGACATACAGGCCGTCAAAGAAGCCTGACTCGACAAAGAGAGGAACATCACTACTGGAAACCGCCAACTCCAAAGACAGCAACGAGCACATCCGCCCACCATGTGCATCGTCCTCCTCACCACCGCCCACCCGGACTACGCCCTCATCGTCGTCGACAACCGCGACGAGTTCATCCTGCGTCCCACCTCCCGGCCGCACTGGTGGACCCATCCCTCGGGCGCCGCCGTCCTCTCCGCCCGCGACCTCCAGCGCGAGGAGAAGGGCACCTGGCTCGGCGTCACCAAGACCGGCCACCTCGCCGTGCTCACAAACTACCGCGAGACCGATCTCGGCGACGCCACCCACCCCATCCACGCCGCCCGCAGCCGCGGCGGCATGACCAACCACTGGCTTGGCTCCGACCCCGCCGAGCCCGCCCCGGCCTCCGTCGCCGACCTCGTCAAGGACGGCGGCGTCAAGGGCGTCGGCGGCTTCTCCATGGTCGCCGGCAAGCTGAAGCGCAAGCGCGGCGAGGATGAGAAGCCCGCGCGCGCGCTGGAGGGGATCGCCATTGTGTCGAACCGCTGCGACCAGCTGGAGGACGTGCCGTGGATCGCGGAGACGCGGGGCGAGGTGTACGGGCTCAGCAACACGGTGTACAACGACCCCAAGCCGTGGCCGAAGGTGGAGCTCGGGAAAAAGCTCGTCAAGGAGGCCGTTCAAGAGGCGGTCGACAAGAATCTGGATGAGGAGGCCCTGGCTGAGCGTCTTTTTTCTGTGCTCGATACGGACACGCTGCCTAAGCATCCCGATATGAGCCTGGCGGATTACATCAAGGAGCTGAAGCAGAGCATCTTTGTCCCCGCCATCGGCGACGAGAGCCACCGGAAAGCGATGGCGGACGCGGTTGCGAGGGGGCCAGGGCATTTTGCTACGGACGATCAAAAGGCAGCTGAGAGCCTGCAGCTGGGCGAGCGGCCTGACCCGCCGACCAAGCCTAACCTGGGCTTCGAGGTAGGGTTGTACGGCACGCAGCGACAGACCGTCATTATGGTCGACTGGGACGGCAATGTGTCGTATCGGGAAAGAGCGCTGTGGGACGGCAACGGCAACCCTATCGAAAGGGGAAAGGGCGATGAGGTGTTCCGCTTCAAGATTGAGGGGTGGGAGAGCTAGAGACGCGGTCTAGGGAAGGATTCATCTAGAGTAGAGTTTGCATAGGCTGGTGCGTGCAGTTGGACGCTCTTGCCGTGCATCGTGGTGAGAAAGGCCTGATGAAATGAGATTCGTGAACAGCAGCCACGTTCGAAAGATCCAATGCGAAGCTACCTGAACGCAAGAGACCGACTATTCTCGCCCTGCACAAGTGACTACGTTTCCCGTATTCTCGGCCACTGCGATCCCGTTTATGGACCAAACACTGGCCGAACTTCTCTTACTGGTTTACCACTCCCGTGCAACTTCTCGCTGGGCGGGCTATGGCGGTTACGCAGATTCGGGATATTCATAGATATCAATGGGGTGTCTAAAACAAGTGAGTGGCAACAAGATGCTCAAGTTGAAATAAAACATCAAGATGAAAGTAGAAAGAAAAACAGGGTAAAACGCAGAAAAAGACAGAAAAACAGAAAAGACAATGGGAAACAAATCAAGAAAAAAAAAGAATAGAGAGCAAAGAGAAAACAAAATAGAAAACGGGAAGCTTAATAGTGCTCCCCTAATATCCCCAATAAAAATTAATAGCAGGAAGTAATAAGAATAATAACAAAGATAGGAACAATAGCATTAAGTAACAACAACAATAATAATAACAACGCGGGATAAGGGACGACGATGCAGGACAACGATGCAGGACGACGACGCAGGACGACGACGAAGGACGACAACGAGGGACGACAACAAGGGACAATAACGAGGGACGACAGCAAGGGACGACGACGAAGGACGACAGCGAGGTACAACGACGAGGGACGACGATGATGAACGGCAGGAACGACAAGACAACGATGAAGATAGACAACGACGATAGACGACGACGAAGGACAATAATGATAGACGATAACGAAGGGCAACGACGATGGAGGACGATAATAGACGACGGTAGAGGCAACAGAGACGACAGCAGAGAAAGGCGTACTACAGCCGTACTGTCACTTTAGTGCAGTTTGGATTGATTGCAGCTTCTTATATTTATGTTGTTGTTGACTACCACGAGAGTTCCTGCCGCGTGTGAGGCAGATGCGCACCTTCCGCATATTATCATCCGTACCTTCCTTCCTTCCTGCGGTGGCAGAAGCTGCGACCAAAGAGCAGATTAATCGTCATCGTCCGTGCCTTCGGCGTTTACCTTGCGACGCAGTCAAATCATCCAACGACATCGAAACATCAGAGCACCTTTTTTCATCTGAAGCTGAACTTCACAGATCCCACGGCCCAATTCACCCAGCCCACCGCGCGTCTTGTCGGTTCGCCCAACCGAGCACTCTCTGCGGCCCGTCTGAAGGGGCCTTTTTCTTTTTTTGATTTTTTAACTTCTCGCGACTTTCTTTCACTTTGACAATGCCCCCCGCGAAACCCGGGTCCCTCGGCTTGCTTCTGCTCTTCCACACTACGCGAGCACTCTACACCCTCATCGCCCACAGTCTCTACATCATCCAAACCAACCTCCACCTCTGGTTATATTTTGCCAGGACAGCCGCTGCTTGTTTTGCTATTTTTGCTTCTGCTTTCTTCCACGTCGGCCAGATCTGCAGCACTGTTGTGGAAGGCGCGCTGGCCACTTGGACCATTTCCCTTTCCGTCGTCTTTGTCTGGGCCGTCCCCTACGCCATCTTCCTTTCCGGCGTTTTCTCTGTCGCCGTTTTCGTCGTCGTCCTGGAACAATGCGAGACCGTCTATCTAATTCTTCGTTCCTTCCTACGCGGAACCGAGGCTCCCGTCTCTCCGGAGGCGGCCTTGCCCGCCCGACAATTTCTGGTCCCGTTGGACCAGTCCGTCGCAATGACGGAGCTGACCTCCAGCGAGCCGATGCCATCACCATCATCCACAGCATCAACGACGCAACCCAATCCCAGCCAGAACTCTCGCAGCCGCAGACCAGTGTCATTCGCCAGTTTCATCGGCCAGGCCCTGCATCTCATCACCAAAAGACCCCCCGTGGCAGTCGAATGCCCCGATCAACCCGAGGAAGAGCTCCCACCCCGGGCCCGGATGGAACCATGGAGAAGTTGCAGCAGGGATTCGGAGGACGAGATGGATCTGAGCAGTTCAACGAACCCCGTTTCTCGCCTGAAGCACTTCCTGGTCTCAACGATCGTCATGTTCTGGGAGAAATATCCCACACCAACACAGACTCCGCCCGCCTTCCCTTCAGTGCCTCGCATGGTCACTTTGGAGACCCCGGACGCCTCCCCAAGCCCCCGTCGACCGGTAAAGCAACAGGACACACCGCTGGCTCCCATGCAAGACGAATCTCGGCAGGCTTCTCCCACGGCGGACCCCTCTCCAGCAATCCCACTGTCGCCAGTTTTGACGTCAACGCCCTCACCGGAGCGGCTGCTCGAAACGATGAGAATCGGCCGCCTTTGTCAAAGTCCGGAGAAGTCACATTCACCTCTTCGTCGGAAAGCAGCCCGTCGCTTGCTCCTAGCTCGGGAATCCAATCCAAGTTCAACTCCCGTCCTTCCAGCCGCGTAGAGAAGAAACGCATCCCAAAGTCACGGACCATGACCGTCTTATCCAACCTCACGGCATCTCTTTCAAGGACGTCACTCACGAGCTTTACAAGTGATCGCAAGGCCTCTACAAGCAGATCGGTCTCCTCGCGCAAAGTCAGTGGCTCCTCAACTAGCACACTTAGCACTACGGACACATCCCGAGTCCCCACGCCCATGAGCGCTGAGGTCAACCCTCTCATCATCAACACTGCCCAGTCATCCCAGTACTGGGCGGGTCGCTTTCAGTCTCTGCACGATCGCTTTCACAACGAGGATCTCCAGCCTCACTCTCTTGCAACCCTTGTTTCCGCCCACGCCTCAAGATCTACTGTTGTTCGCGACCAGCGAGCGGCTTACCAAAGCCGCGGCAATCTTCCTCTCAGCACGACTACTGCATTGGACCGCTACAGTACTACAGCCGTCAGCAGAGAGACCAAGGTTCTCGACGAGGAGGACAACCGCTGTCTGCGCGTCTTTCTGCATCTCGACTCGCTCTGTGCCACACCCGAGGCGCAGAAGAGCCTGCATGCCTGGCAGGAGATTTACGCGCGCCGCAACAACCGCGTGGCACTTCTGCCTCACGGCGCGAGCATGGACAAGGGGTTCGTGGCTAGAATATTTGGCGGCGGACGACGCAGTATGGGCGCCCCTCGCCCCGAAAAGCAGGTGATCGAGGGAAAATACCGCACTGGCAAGCGTGTCAGTATGCTTTGAGCTTTACGTGGTTTGGCATGAAGGATTATCAAAGTGCGACAACATGGATAGGCGTTTTTGTTTTGGGCTGAATTGGAGGGATAACTGGGAAAAGCATCATCACATTGTCAAGACTCTCATGAGAGAGCTATCGCGAAGCCTGTACAACGGACACAGAAAAGTCCCTGCATCTGTATATATGGAGGCTATGAGAGACGAAAACTCAGCTGTTAGGACCAATACCCATTTACTTCTACACCGACCAGTCCATGGTTCCTCTCTCCCAAACCCCAACGCCTGCTAATGCATTTCAGTGTGTGTATTTCCGCGTGTACTCGGCGCCTCTTCTGTGGTGTAATTCCCTTGGTTCGCCCGCACGCGCCCGCTGTCCAGTCTATCTTAATCCTCCGCCTTCTTCCGCAGCTTCAGGTAATCCCTGATCTGCTCATGCTTGCTCGCAAAGAACATGCCCAGCTTGTCGTTCCGCCACGTCAACACGCCAATCTCCGCCGCGTAGCCCGCAATGTCCTCGTACTCCCTGGGGCTGTCAAAGTCGCGGAACAGGAACCCGCTCGTGGTCGTCATGCGCTCCGTCTCGAGCTGCCACAGGCGGATCTGGTCGATGACCGTCGGCGGCAACACGGGCTTGTTCCGGACGGCGGCGAAGCGGTGCATCTGCTCGTGCGCGTGGGACGCGAGGTAGGAGATGATCTGGTCGGCGGTGATGCCGCGCTCGACGGCGTTGCGGATCGAGTTGCGCGTCAGGCGACCCGAGACCATGTCCGCGAAGCGCAGCTTGAGCTTGCAGAAGAGGGAGAGCACGGCGATCTGGAGAGGGGTCTGGCCGTAGGCGTAAACGCGGTAGTTTGTCTCGACGATGATGCTGCCGCTGCGGGTTTCTTCGGAGCCGCCGCTGCCTGGGGTAGCGCCGTTGCGGGGCCCGCTGCCGCCGGGACCGGGGCCGGATGCTGCTGCGAGGGCGGCGGAGAAGCCTGCGCCGGCGCTGCGGAGGGCGCTGGAGCTGCTTGTGAGGGTGGTGGCGAGGCGGGTGGGGAAGTACTGCTGCGGCTTGTGGGAGGGGATGTAGATGAGGCCGAAGTCCATGAGGGAGGGGAGCATGTTGCGGCGCTCCTCTGTGAGGGCGTTCGTGTCGTAGGCGCGGCCGAGCTCGAGGGAGGCGAGGAGGAAGAGGAAGGAGAGCATGTCGGTGGACTCCATGCCGGCGGAGTCCTGGGCGTGGTCTGTGGCGTCGAGCCAGAGGAGGAGGAGGGTCCAGACCTGGGCGTTTGCCTCCTGGAGGAGGAAGGTGAAGCCGGCCTGGGTGATGCCGACGGCGCCCTGCTGGCGGCGGACGAGCTGGCCTGCGACGAGCAGGTTCTTAACGGACGACTTAGGCCCGCTCAGGTCGGCGCTGCCGGGGTTGACGGTGGCGACGATGTAGTGGAGGATGTCGTCCCACTTGCGGCGGGCGTAGCGGTCGAGGAAGGGGATGGTGATCTCGGGCGGGACGGGGAGGGTGGAGGGGACGCCGAAGGAGTTGTGGTGGCCGCCGCCCTCGAGGGCGAGGCGGAGGGAGGATTTGAAGTTTGTGGTGAGCTGCATCTCCTGCGGGCGTTCTTTCGACGGAACGGTGATTTGGAGGATGTGGAGGGAGCGCAGGGTCGAGATGGCTTGGTCTTTTTGCCTGTGGGAGGGAAGAAGCTGTGTTAGAAAGATTTTGCGGCTGCGCGGTGGGAGGAAGGGTAACGCGTGTGGGAGAGGGTGTTGTACCGTCGCGAGTCGGGCTTCACCCAGAGATCGAGGTCCTCGAGAAGCATTGGCTTGGGCATGTACAGGATGGCCATGACGATGGTTTTTGCTGGGGAGATTTGGATGCCTGGGTTAGCTAGCTTGTTCCATGCTCAGCGAGCGCCGCGGAGACGGCGACGGCGACGGCGAGGCTCACCCAGCGGGGGGATCATCCTCCTGAAGATGGCGAAGGCGGTCGACGGCTGGAGATACAGCTTCCTGAAGGTCGTGCCTGGCAGCTTCTCCAGGTAGTCGGCCAGCTGGAGTGATTGACCCGAGCTGACCGACATGATGGGCGAGTTTGCGCGCGGTGGTTTGGGGGCGGGAGGAAGAGGTCGGCGAGATTTTCGTGTGTTATCTCATGATCGGGCGGAGAGGAAGGCGCGAGGCTCGTTCAGGGGGGGTTGTCACTGCGCTGGGGGCGTTGGAGTCGTGGGACTCGGTCGTGGTCGTGTGCTTTTGGGTTTGGACAAGTTCTCGATTATTTGCGACAGGCGATCAGGTCCGTCATTCAATCATTGAGCAGGGATTACTAGCCAGCGGAACTTTCCGCCTCAGGCCCCCCTGGTGCTGCCTGCGCTTATCTTATCGGCTGCTTATCGGCGTCTTATCCATGTCGGCTGCGAGAAGGGACGAAAGCCGGGAAGGCACGTCATATTAATAGCTTGCGGGCGGGTGCGACGGCCTCCAATTGCCGAAGACCGCCGAACTCTTACTCACCTGGACGAGTGAATCTCATCTCAACAGCCATTCATCGAATTTTCAGTGCCAAGATGCCTCCCAAGCTGCCACCTCTTCGCTTCGTGCGATCTGTGAGTCTTTTTTGAGTCAATTGGTCTGAGATCGGCACTGACCATCACTCCAGGTCCTCAACTCCTTCTCCAAAGACTCTGGGCTTGAGCCGAGGTGAGTTGGAGTTGCATCGAGATGCTCGTCCTTGCATTCTCGTGATGTATTTGTCAATGTGCATGCAGCTGATGGGATTGTAGACTCCTTGGTAACAACGTATGAAAAAGTCTCTCAGTAGTGTTGTTGACGTGAGACTCACTTCACTGCAGTTTAGAGTAACGGGCGCCTCTGTCGGCAATGTTGAGTTCGAGCTGGCTATCCAGAAGGAGCACACGGTATGAAGTCCACAAAGATCGCAGAGTAAACGTTCTTCGTAGCTCATGTCATTTAGAACCGTCTGCAAACCATCCACGGAGGTACTCTCGCCAGTCTTGTCGACCTTGGCGGTTCCCTCGCCGTCGCCTCGAAAGGCCGCTTCATGACTGGCGTCTCCACTGATATCAACGGTTCGTCACATCAGTTCTCAGAAACTCGCCATCACTGATAAGCCTCAGTCACGTACTTGAACCCCGGAGGAACACCTGGCGACATCATGACGGGCACTGCCATCTGTGACAAGAGTAGGTCACTCTGCATCCAACGCGCAGAAACTATCGTTGACGACTTGCAGTGGGAAGAACCCTCGCATACACAACTGTCCAATTCTTCAACAAGAAGGGAGAACTTGCTGCTAGAGGAAGCCATACCAAGTGAGCTTCGATAAGGGCGAAAACGGAATCGAGGGGCTGCTGACATGTGGCTAGGTACATCGCCAAGACTTGGGTGTCTGAGGATTTCGTTGCACCTGACGAGTACGTTGCCGAAGAGGAGAAATGAGATGACCTGCCAAGTCCGCAAAGAGCAGCTGGTGCTGGCGGCTTCGCAGACAATCTTGCCAGGCCAATCTCAAGGTGCGTTTCACAACAGAGGTCGAGGTCTACAATTCTAGATAATAGACGTCTATTACTCATGTTCTGAGGAAGCAAGTGTATAATATCGCTCGTTTTGGAGCGATCTCATGTGGGATTTCCATTGATGACCCTCAATCCATTCCATGCATTCATACCAGTCTTCCTTGCTAATCATTGCTACGTAACAACTCCCTTAACTTCATGTCACATCATAGTCTCATTCCGTATCTCCGATAACCGACTGCTCAACCCTCTCAAACGCCCTTGTCGGAATCAATGGCTTTCGACTGGTACTGCATCTTGGACATGGCGTAAGACTCCTTCGTCGCCACGGAGTAGAGCAGGACCAGAATGACGAGAGGTAGGTAAGTCGTCAGGACGATATCCAAGACATAGAGCACGATATAGTAACCCCAGTAGGACCCGCCTCCGAAAAAGACGTTGACCAGGCCCCAACATTCGCGAACGAGAAAGAGGGAGGCAACAGTCACTACGATCTTGGCCGCCTGTAGTAAATGCATTAGGATACCAGCGATCTTGTTGCCCTGAGAGACGGGAAGCCCCGACGTACCTGTTCCAATCCGCTACCGAACGCCTTCTTGCGTGACTTTGCAGCATACACAACAGACCCGATGGCCATGATGATCAAAATGCTGTAAGAGGCAAGCATAAAGCATGACGCGACCAGATACTCGTATTCCTTGTAATATCTGCCGAACCTGTCGTCGAGGTAGAGACAGAATGCAACGAACGAAAGCAGGACGACCAAAATCGAGCCGCCGAGGGCGAAGCCACGGCCCTTGCGATAGGCGCTCGAGACCTCATCGCCCTCAGTCCGCAGCTGTGTCAGGGCGTGTGCCATGTAGAAGACGGCGAGGAAAATGGAGAGGTTGAGCACAACTTCGACGAAAAATTGCATGTAGACAAGCACATTGACGGCAACGCCGACGGAGTGTCGCAGCCCGAAGAACCTGTCATATGCGGCGCTGGCGAGGCAGGACCAGACGGCGATGTAGAGAAGGTGCGATCTGTTGAATTCATTGTGTTAGATTTTTTTCCTGACATAATTTAGAGGGCGTGGTGGAGGCAGCTTACAGCATCCAGAGACCAAAGCCAACCTTGGTGTAGTCAACCCATCTGCGTGTCGTGTCATGGCGGTATCCTGGCTTGCGGACGAGCTTTGCGAAAAGGACCACCATTGGGATCAGGGCTAGCACGACGACGACAATCCGTACGATGTACATGATCTGCTCCGGACTGAGTGCGCCGCCCATATTGATAGTGTTCTTCGTTTCCTTCTCTTCTTGTGTACAGGTAGTGGCAGTAAATGGTGTCTGGCGCCAAAAGTGTTGTCGAAATCGTTGACTCGTTATTATTCAATCCGATGATCAAGGGATAGACTCCGTCGTAACACAGGGCCGCGGATCAAGAGAGCCCTTAAGTAATCTACACATCAACCAGAATTCCAACGGCGAAAACCGCATCTTGGCGAAGGAGCGCCGTAAAACTTGGCGGCGCTCACTTCCAAGACCCGCAGCCAGGCTTCCGTCTGCACCCCGACCGGGCGACGGCTGTGCCGCACTAGTTCCGGGCACCACACGAGATCTGCCTCGCCCAAAGCTGGGCTGAGCAAATTCCGCACAAGGGCCGCGGAGCGCAGACCTGCAGGTTTCAGTGCGACCCCGCCCATTGTTATTGCCCGACGGCGTGTGGGCGTCTTGGGACATGAGCCGTTGAGCGAAATGCAGTACACACAGCGGTGATCTCGCTTGATGTACGGGGCGAGACACGCTGCTTCGCCTCTGCACCATTGGGCGCGCCCCCTGCCGTGCTGCCGTCGGGCGTAGTCGCGTAGGTACGATGGGAGCTGCAAGTGTTTTAATCCCGCTTTGCTGGCAATGAAACGAATGAGAGGTTCCGTGATGGAAATGCTTCGCGAAACTCTCTCACTGGTGACTGCGGGGCTTTCATACGTTGGCTGGGCGTTTTCCCCCATCTTTTGCCTTGGCCTAGTATCGCCTAAATTCAAGCTTATTTCTATGGATGGACGCCACAAATGCCCTGTGACATGATCAATCAGATCGATGAAGTCTGACGTCGGAGGGACAGTGAGTGGAGCGACGCGTGCGTTCAACTGAACTTTCCCAAGAAGCCGTTATTGACGCTTGAGACGGTCAAGGGCGCCTGGTGAAGATAGTGAAGATGGCGACGTAGATCAAGATTGAGGCCCAAGAATTCCTTCAGCCACCAACCATGCTTTGAGGTGAGAGCGATATTGCATTCATCAAGTGGGTCAATTGCACCGCCTGAATGCGATGAGACGGCCTTTTTTTGGTGGCTGTAGAGCACTGTGATCGACAAAGGCTGCCGCTTACGTCCCTACCTGCTACTGTGGGCAGTGTTGTGCGACCACCTTAGGTGATAGTTTCTTGGCAATGGTACATCGACTGCGTTTGCAGCTTCTCCTATGGGAATGTCCTTTCACGCAATGAGCCATTATAAAGCTATGCCATATTGGTTGGTCTCTACAGCGCATAAAGTGAGGCTATCAACACGCTCTTACGGTCAAGAGAAAGAAAGTAGGAGACATGTGTAATATTCGACCTGATGAAATTCGACCCATCTATTCACAACATAAGGAGTACTCGTAGGACTCCTTTTAATGTAAAAGCTTACTGCCATAACCGGAGGGCCTAAGAGTGGCCAACACGGTCCAACAGATATTACATTGACAGAACTCATAATAACCCGTATACGTCCCCGTTATTGCAGCAAAAGACGTTCCTTCCATACACACATCCTCATAATTACTCTTCAGAATTCAGAGGCTTCCGGCCGTATACCGAGTACCTAAACACAGTCAGAGAATCGATTGGCGATCATGTCGAAGGCACTTACAGTGGCCAGTACGCATGGATGGTTTTGTCCATGAATTCTTCGCGGCACAGGGCGTTGGAGACAGCCACCTCTTCCTTCGTCCACCCGTGAGCCCTTGTCAGCAACGTCAAGCAAAGGCCATCCCAGCCAGAAACAATGTTCTCGTGGCTCCATGCGCCGATATCCTTAAACCTCCTTTCCTTTGGCCATGTGTTTGTAGGCCACTTGTACTTCAACACGTTGATGTCTACGAACCCAGCCCTGCTCAAAATGCCTTGGAAATTATCCACGTTCATCGTAGGCCGCCCGCTCTTCTCCATAGCCTCCTGGATGAGGTCTGCGATCTTCACAATCTGTGCGTCCCTCGGGACAGTCCCGTCGTCACATTGAGGCTTGAGAGGGGTTTCGTTAAACTCAACCCATCCGCCAGGGTTGAGGTTGCTGCGGACGCCAGTCAGTCTATGCAGGTCTTTCGAACTTCATGCTGCAAAGCAAGATAAGGAGTGGAACGTATCCAGCTGGACTCACTCAAAGCATTTCCTAGCGTAAGCCTCCCAGTCCTCGATACATCCGTTCATTAGTCTGCTGTGTATATAATCGAACTTTGGAGAGAATGCCCACTCCTCCTCAATATCATCAACCTCAAACGTGACATTCGGCGGCGGGCTACATAACTTTCAGGTTAGCAACGCGTTCCTTCATGAATGGGGCTCAGAGGTCGTATGACTTAGCAAAGCTAGCCGAAAGGTCAACGCCAAGGACTTCGGCCTCCGGGTGTTCGTCGCCGAAATCGATGGCCCAGACACCTGTTCCTGTTCCGATATCCAAAACTCGCCCAACTTTGGAATCCCTTTCATTTGGTGGAGCATTGCCCAGTTTATCGTTAAAAGTGAGCAAAAACAGGTTATGCTGGAGCTCTTCCTCACTGTCAGAATCCATGTCTCGAAGCTTTGCGAGTACTAACCAAGCCTGTCGTTCTCCGTTTCATCGTTCGGCAGGTTGTATTCTGCAATAAATGTTAACAAGTCCGTCAATAATTTGGCTTCAGAAGCTAAACCCTACTGCCTTCTTTATAACCATGGTATGTCCTTCCATTCTCCATTCGATAGTCCATGACATCCGCGGCAAGACTCACATTTGACGACGAGACGCTCTACTCATCTATTAGCAACAATATTACAGTATGAAGCTGAAGTCGTAATATCTTACTGGCGCGTTGATTGACTCTGTGTCGTCAAAATCAGGCTGAAGTGATGCAGTGGTTAGCAAGCCGTTGCAGCAGCAGGAGGCAAAGCCACTACCTCGTCCTCTGGCTCAATCACCACTCCGGGGTCGAACTTTTCTGCTCTTGTTCGAGTCGAAGACATTTTGAGGACAGAAAGACGGTGAAACGTCAAGAAACTGGACTTGTGATGGTCGAATGATGTGTCGCGGTGTCTGGGAGACGTTTGTTCGCGATATTTATCCGTCCTGGTCCAACAAGCGCCTCCGTGATTATGACGGCTGTTTGTCCCGAGATACCCATGAACCCACTCCCCGGACTTGGCTTCCTCATTGAGCGACAAATCCATGCATGAGTGTGCAGTAGCTCGGCGGTGATAGGTCTGCGAGCATCGGGCCAGGGTGGTTTATATGCTGTTGGTGGTGCCCCTGCCTTTGTCGAACCACTAAGCGCCCACACAAACAACAGAGCACTCCACTTCGCGATCCATGTGGTGCATGTACATGCAATCACACGGCCAACCTTCAACGCGTTGGTGCACAAATGTTTTAACTTGCACTATCTTATGAACGAAGTCCGTCGCACCCGTCTGGTCCGTGATGCTTCCATGAAGCCGAGCCTCCCAGTTCATCACGTATATTATTGTTACAGTCGTTACAATGAGAGGACAACCAATACTCGCAATGATGTCTATGAATAGCTGTATTCAAGATGAAGAGTCTAGCAAACACCGCTAACGTGCGGTCGGAAACCAAAAGCCATTATCAATTAGCCCGTGTAGGCTAGGGGGTCGCTGCGACCTCCGCTTCTGTTGGCTTCCTGCCAAAAGCAGAGTACCTACACATGGTCAGTATATAAAGTAAGAGCACGGCTGAGCTGGGGAACTTACACGGGGTAATACGCATGGATGCTCCTGTCGTTGAACTCATTGCGGCAGTGCATGGTCCCAACCAGTACCTCCTCCTTCGTCCAGCCGTGGGCTCTGGTGATTGTCGCTAAACATAACGGCTCCCAGCCTGCCAAGATATTTTCCTGAGACCACTTGGCAATCTCCTTATATCTTGCATCCTTGGGCCACATATTCGTGGGCCACTTAAACTTCAGGACTTTTACATCAACATAGCCTGCTCGCATCAGGACCTCCTTAATGTCCTCCATGTCGGTGGCGACGCGGCCAAATTGGATAGTTGCCTCTCTCACCAGCTTGGCCATTCTGAAGATCATGGCGTCGTCCTTGAGAGTGCCGTCATCGCTTTTCGGCATCAAAGAGATCTCGTTGATTTCGAGCCATCCGCCGGGGTTGAGATTACTGCGGAATATCAGCGGCCGACATTCGGTACATGAATGTTCCCCAAAGGGCAAGTCGAGATCGTCTTCTTACTCAAAACACTTTCTCGCGTAGGCATCCCAGTCTGCGATACAGCCGTTCATCATTCTGCTGTGAATGTAGTCGAACTTCCGCGAATAGATCCAGGGTTCCTCCAAGTCGTCGACCTCAAATCTAACGTTGGGTGGAGTACTATGTTACGAGTAAGGAACAGGCTTTTCCTCCCAAAAGAATTCGGAGCTCACAATGATGGGAATGTAGCGGAGAGATCAAAACCGAGCACTTCCGCCTCCGGGTGCTCGTCGCCAAACTCACATGCCCAAATGCCGGTGCCGGTGCCTACGTCGAGCACGCGTCCCACCTTAGCACCCGGATCGTTGGGCGGCGCGTTTCCAAGTCGGTCATCGAACGTGATGAGGAAAAGATTGTGTTGTAAATCTTATTTGACGGTCAGTTGTACATCATAACAGCTTGGCACAGAAAGTCAGAGGCGGTGGCTTACCCAGTCGGTCGTTTTCCCTCTCATCGTTAGGCAGGGTGTATTCTGCGAGACTCAGTATCAATCTCATTTCCTATCATTGGTCGGGGTGCTTGGCATTTGAACTCACTGCCGTCTTTGTAGGCGTGGTAGGTTCTCCCGTTTTCTTGGCGATAGTTGAAGATTGAGGCCGTAACACTTTGGGTGGACTCGCTCGTACTCTAGTCGTTGATAAGCACATGCCTCTTGCTATCACCGTAATAAACAGGCTTATCTCACTTCTCCTCTTTCGGACGCAGTGTCATCGAAGGGCTATTGGCAGATGAAGTTAGTAGACATTCATGCAACCAGTTCCAGCAAGCCTACATTTTCATCGGCGACAATTTGTTCTTCGTGATCCAGCGCAGGCGCGGCATTGGTGGGTGTTGCGACCGGAGAAGCTTCTTCCTCACGGCCAGGGGTCGCAGCAACGGTGGCGGGTGTTGCGACCGGAGAAGCTTCTTCCTCACGGCCAGGGGTCGCAGCAACGGTGGCGGGTGTAGCGACAGAAACCACTTCTTCCTCGGTTGCAGCAGCGTTGGCGGGTGTTGCGGCCGGGACCGCTTCGTTCTCTCGGCCAGGCGTTGCCGCAGCGTTGGTCGGTGTTGCGGCCGGAACAGTTTCCTCCTCGCGGTCCACCGCAGGCGCGGCGTTGGTGGGTTCTACGGCCGACATCCTTGAGAGTTGAATCCGGCAGTATTTCTCGAGAGTGGTTACAGGTGCGTGGAAAGCCTGCTCTCTCTCTCTGCATTGGCATGCGATCCGTGTTGGGTTTTATCTGTTGGTCCTGTAAGATGGGTCGGCTTACCCCTCCCTTGGCTGTTTGCACATCGTCGCCAAATGCGCGTTGCTCCCCCGCCAGCGGAGATGGTTTCCCCAAGCAGAACTGCGTTCCACGTATCACAAGGATGCAGCTTTGCAACGACAGGTGTTCGTCGGGAGTACGTGGGCCTGGTGCCGCCTGTTGTTGGTACTGTTTTCTCAAACAAGACGCACCAAGCCCAAAACCGCAGGACCCTTCGCTTCGCATTACGACCTCGAATACCTAGCCAATCAAGCTGGCAACGGCTCAGGTGAACCCGTGAGCCGTTGCATTAGTTTGGCGAAAGCATTAGCCTCTTTGATCACGTCTCCGTAGTATCCGTACCCAGCGAGGCTCGCAAACCCGACTCTGGCTGGCTATGCTACGAAACCGATCGTTTTCTCGACCGGTGATTCAAGTTTGGATCTCCCCAGGCGAGATCCAAAGACCCATTAAGGTACTTGGTGAAAGGGAATGGCAAGATCAAGCTGCAAAAGGCGGATTCCTCGGCACACCACGGGTCCCAAATCCCCATTGGTTTGGTTTGTTTTCCGGCACCCCGGAAATAAGGCTTGCACCGAAGAGTCCAACACCACCCACGCTGTAGGAATGCCTATGGCATCAGCAATAGCCGAGTTGAAAACCCACTAAACACACCAGCTAGCGCCTTTGTCTTTGGTCGCTCTGGAACAGCCCATTCTAATAATCGTCAGTTGAGGACATGGTACGTATGGTGGCTGAGCTCACAATCATGTGTTCACTTCAGTGACGGGCGGCACTGATAAGATCGATAACAATGTCCAATAGCCTGTTTAATACCCATGTCCAGTCGAAAACTGTAAAGATGTGGCAGTGTTGGCACACTGCAAGGTTCTGTCTTCACGCCGACCTGCGTGTCTCACTGTCAGATTGAGCTGCCTTCGAATGGCGGGGCGACCGCGGTTTGCCTCACTTGTAATTAGTAGGCGACGCGATGCACGTTGATTATCGAGAGAGATTTAAGCCCCGACGCCTCCCAACCTTGTTTCTTTCACGACACATGCATATTCATGGAGAATTATGCCAATCAGCCTTCGCCGTGTCGCTGAACGCCATTCCCAGTCAGCGGTATGGCCAACGTAATAGACTATCTCGTAGCCAACTGGCTGTGCAGGGCGCTTGCAGACGTTGAAGATCCAGATGTCACGGGCCTAGGAGTATGATAATTTGACGTCAGCCACGAGGGTCAAATTAGACGGATACGCTAAAGTCCCGTAGGTCGTAGTCTCATTCATGATATCCATGATCTTCAATTTCTTTGCGATTACGATGGCGTATGTCTTTGACTGGCTACCTGAATCAACCGACAGCAACTCAATTGACGAGGCCTTTCGCCAAAACTTGCGTTGGTTCTTTTCGTGCTCCAACGACCACAGCAGTCCCGAAAACGTCACCAGACTCAAAAGAATCCATGCGTTTGAGCCGTTCGTGCTTGGTATGAGCGATCAGCACTTCATTACCGGAGTAGCCCTGGCGATCGTTAGCATGTTCATGACGTTCAACAACAACCTGAGTGAAAAGTTCTCGGTTTGCTTCTTTCAGATCGCGACAAGACTCGGGTACTTCTCTTGCATTGTACGTCTTTGTGCAATCTCTCTCCTGCGCGAGCATTTCGAAGCTTACAAGCGCCTGAGGACATTCCTCGTATGTGTGGCGGCCGTACTACTAATCCTTTTGTAGTATGCATGACGATATCTGAATCGGTTACCTTCAGATTCAATCGCCACATCTCAGTCGAATGCGTAAAACAACATTTCAAATTTATCAACCCTGACCAGCCTCGGTACGTCTCGTTTTCATACGAGGTTGTGGTTCTTTTGATTCAGACGGTCCTCGTCTTGGTTATAATCCTCGGCTATTCGAGGCGGTTCCTTGGACTTTATCACAAAGATGCCGGGGCGGACTACCACTACTGGTCTCGATGGTCTCTGCAACGACTGCTGGGAGAGCTAGCTGGAAAGAAGTACAACAACGAGTTCACGCCCACGATGAAATCACTGTTTGAGGAACTTTGTGACAGCAGGGACGATCCTACTGTGGACCGTTGGATCTTGGCGTTAGACATATGGGCTAAGTCCATATCCAACAGCTTTCTCTGGGGAATAATCTGGCTAGGTTTCTACTTTGTCTTTGGAATGGGCAATTCCTGGGAATTCTACTTGGATGCAGGTCTGACGCACCAGATTGACGCAAACTTCGGTCAAGTGATACCGTTGATTCTTGTTTGTATTCGGTTCTTCTCTGCTTGGGCTGCTTCTTCATGTAAGTGCTCCTTTAATGCGTTGTTGAACTTAGCCAAACCAATGTCATGCAGCCACAATCGCAACCCATGAGCAGCATTCGAGAAACAACACATTCCAATCTCCCTGAACCCAGCCGTGTAACTCTCCACGGCGCCATGATGAAGAGGTAAGCTACAATACTAAAGTCAACGCACCGCAGACTGAGTCTGGAGCTCATAAGAAGACACAGGCAAGAGAGGGGATCATGGATGTTGCAAAAGAAGTCGGAATCTTTTTACGATGGTTGGAAGCCTCCACATTCATGTACGCTTTAGGGCTGATAGTATGGTCTCTGATGTTTGCAGATGTGATTCCTGGGGAATTCTACTTATCAATTGTTGCCTGCAATGTGTCAATTGGATTTGTCGTTGCTGGAGCTGGAACTTGGTTTATGGCTGTGTTTACCGTCTGTTCCGAAGGATTGGTCCCCATCATCTATGAATAACTTCACCGACGATACATTCTCCTGCGGTCGTTATTCGGAAGAACGCATGACAGTCGAGATACCATTTGATGCAGTAGATAGATTGCACACTGTTTGAAGCACCAGCAGAGCCAGAAACTTGCTGGATGTAAAAAAAAAAAAAAAAAAACGCCACCGCGCAGAACAGATATTTGGCCGAGATGACAACAGTACATCGGAGCGGGAATATTAACTTCAAGTCCACTACAACGGCTGGTATAGATTAAAATATGAAGGGAGCTCTGGCCAAATCTACCGCTGCGGTCAGGGCTTCGCTAGGACCAGGGCCCGCCAAGAGTCCGGTATTCGTACTCCCTGTGCTTGCGATGCGGGTTCAATAATCATGCCATAGGTACCTATGTCGCCAAAATGGTGAGCTGTTTGATTAGCCTTCTTCTTCCTTGTCTTGTGTTTGCTTCTAGGACAATATATTCACACACCGGAGCCCTCGCCAGGTCACTATTTTGAACAGGCGTGGTTACTTTGCGCCAAATGGTTCGACCGACACACAAGCAGGGGCTATTTTCGGTTTTATCATGTAGCGGCGGCCTCTCGGGGTTTCAAGACAGTCCCTAATGGCAACGGCGGAAAGCCGGCATAAGGAGCATTGACAAAGTCCGGCAGTCACGAGTCGTGACTCGTAAGGTCCACAAGTGATATTAGAACGCCCATTAAGGAACGTGAAATCTTGGCGCAAGTACGAGACAGCAAAAGATGGAGGGATAAGGCAGGGAATGTTTGAAGATCACTTTAGATTTAATATGTCAAACTTTCATGCCATGTGACAAACTGGCCCAAGCATAGCGGTCAGCACCGACTTGTTGCGTGATATCGATGATTGACAAGGAGCCCGAATACGCGGTTCTCGTTCACCTCGATGTTCCAGGCTTTATCGATGACAAGGTGACGAACCGCAAGGACCAACAGTGCGTCGCTGTCATCGCAAACCCCCCACTTCAATTTAATTGAGTTTAACAATCGATGCATCACCTGGAATGCTCCGACAGTTCTTCAGCCTACAAATACTACATACGCCTAAATGTTCCTATCCCTATTTGAACTCCTCGTCTACCAAACTCACCATATCCCCGTCATCGGCCACTTGAAATCCTCCCAACCTAAACTCGACGTACCATCATTATTTATCGATATGAAGTACTTGGCTGTTCTTTTGGCTTTTGCCGCCTCTTCTAATGCTGCTTGGTGCAACGCCGGATGGGGCAAGCCCGCCGGAGCCTCATGCCCGTCTGGCTACGTAAGTTCACTCGCAACATTGATCAGAATCGTACTCAGCTAACCCTATCCTAGACCAACACCTACTGTGTACGATAGTCCCCTCAACCAAAATAATGTCTCACTAATATATGTGCAAAGTGTGAGGAGCCTGGAAGTCAACACGGGGACTTTGGTTCGCAAAAAGTCTGCGTTAACCCGTCCAACGGCGCCGGCACTGCGCCTGTTCTGAGTTCATGCCTGGGTAGCGGTGTAAGTATCTAGTCTCTCCGCGCGTGCTCTAACGAACAATTACTGACAATCTCATCCCCAACTAGTTCGTGCGCTGCGTAAGCTATGCCTTCCTCGGTCTCGGTATCATTCTCACATTTTGCTATAGTGTCCGTAAACCCTTCGACAGATATCCTGTTGAGCAACCACCATCTCGAGGGGGAGGTTCCCCGATTTTATCTCATGCATACTGGAAGCGCAGACAGCACTTGATGATTAGCCAGCATTTACCGATAGAAAAGGGCAAACAGGCGCTAGAGGTGCCCAGAATCTCACAAGCCTTTGGGTTATGGGAAAATTGTAACGACATAAGCATGGTATTCCAAGCCGAACTTTTAGGTTTTCATAATTCACAACTCCATCCTATATCTCTCGAAGGCCTCAACTGCGGCTCGGACTTGAGCGTCCATATCTACCCCATTTGTGAACATGCCACCTTCCTTCATCCGAGCACGCATGTGTTCCAAGTCAATCTCGTCTCCGTCTTGGCTGTACAACCTGCCAAACTCTCTCGTAATGTCCACAACTTTTTGACTTCGCGGCCGTCGAATCTCATCGAAGGCTTTCAAACCTGGCTCAATCTCGTCAACCGATGTTAGCCGATTGAAGATGCCTGCTAGTATGGAGCAATCTTCGATGGCTTGGGCAGCTCCGTTTCCTGCGTGGGGCAGGGTTGCATGGGCGGCATCACCAAGCATGGCCACATGTCCTTTGTAATATGTCGGTGCATGCTCGTGGTCTTGCAAGCTCCAATCCTCATTGTCGCTTTTCTCGACGGCCTAGTGAACATGGTACAGTCAGCCGTTTGCTCACGGTGTCACCCACAAATACTTACAGATATAAGTGCATCAATTTCTGGTAGAAACCCTTTCCACAGATCCGAGTTGAATGGCGCCCCTTTTTGCGGGCACTTGGTGTCTCTTTGCAAGCAACCTATGCTGTAAGTTTGTCCGAGATCGACTGGAATGCCGATGATGAATCCATAAGGGGTGCAATAGCCGATGGCGTTGTCGATGCAATGTTGGGGAATGATTTGTTTGGCCCTTGTCATGGGGATTGCTGAATGAAACTGCCGCCATTCATCGTGGTTGACAGGCTTAGTCGCCGGATGTTCGGGCCCGAGGATGAATTTCCTGGTAGGACTGAAAACCCCTTCGGCTCCGAACACGACGTCGAAAGTGTCATCTGTGCCATCCTCAAAACTGACCTTAACCTCCTTTGTGATAGCATTCTCCTCGATGTCGACCAAGCGTTTGCCAAAATGCAGTCGCTCCTTGGGCATCACATCGTCTTCCAAGAGTCCTTCAATGAAATGTGCTCGATGGACCGTCCTCCTTCCTTTAGCTCTCCCCAATTCTGCAACCAAAGTTCCTGCATGTTTTCCGGCAGAAAGGAGAAATTGGGTTGCCATCTCCATGTCTTCTTCGTTGGCCATGAAGTGGGACTTTTTAAAGTACGCCTTCTTGATTTCCGGTGATATGAGATCCATGGATTTGATGGCATTCGCATGCAGAGCAAGACCAAACCCTCGGAATCGAACGTTGGGGTGTCCTTCGAATAGGTGAACGTCAAGATGAGGGTTGCTAAGGAGGCCGATTGATAGACAACAGCCGGCGATGCCGGCACCCATGATGCCTACACGCACGCGACGGGGTTCGAAGTTATCGCCCATGCTTCAGATTCTTATGGTGATTTCCTCAGTACCTCCGTTGACTTTGGTGTTTTTGATCAATTTTTGAAGCACAAAATGCGGGGTGTTACAGCTTCCAGTTCAAATAGAGGATTCCACTCCATGCCGTGGGTCCTCCATACATCATGGTGCTACGTCGACCCATGGCGGCGAACCAACATGACGAGCATCGTACCATTTCTCCACTGAAGATTTATTCATGCAGGTCTCTTAGCCACACAGTCCAATAAAAGTGGCTTTTGCAGCGGACGAGTCGCACTTGTCATCCGGGCCAGGCGACTCATTGAACACAATTTCAGCCACTGAAAATACTATTGCCTTGAATAATAAGAGGTCGCAGCTTACCCCATTAGACGGCCAAATCAGCGCATACTGATATTACTGGCACAGAAGTACTATCAAGTGAACTTTGGGTAATTAAGTCTAGGAACCACCTTTCATCCGTTCGCCCTGCTGGACTCTCTCAAATAACTGACAGGTTCCCCTCGATCACCGGCGAAACAGGAACAAGTGTTGGCAAAGGAGGCGACGTTGATGAATCGATGATAGATAAAGCCCCTCCAAAGAGGCTGTAGTAGTAAGATCTCAGCAGGGGTCAGATGGACATGACACTAACATTAAGTGCATATTACATGCTTTTATACTCTAGATGTGATCGCGTCGCCTCAGTAATCGGTGATTGAGGCGCAAGGGCTCTTATTCTGGGATTCCTAGCAACACTGAATTGAGACGGCATCATGTTGGCTGGAGATGCTGCAGATGTTCCTCCCGTGACGATCATGTCAGACCTAGGTGCAAAAATGACTAGAGATTACGCGCAATCGATGGACCAGATCAATGCCACCAGTGACAAAAAACACGATAACGATAACGCGCCGATGGTAAATGTGATTCAAAGAAACGAATATGGTCATAGTAGTTGATTAATGTTACAAATGCTACATCTCTCGTTTATATTTACAAGAAGCGTTGGCGACTTCAGAATATGTTCAGTTTGAATATCCAAGACGCTGCATTAGATACGACGAAGCGACTTCATGCTGCGTCTGGCGGCGGAGCTGAGGCACTGAGAGTACCACTCGTTCTGAACGACGCAAGAGGTTCCGGCGGCGCAAGTCGTGGCGCCAGTCCAGCCGCTGCCACCGCACTGGCTCCAGGCCTGGGCAGTAACAGTCGAAGAAGAACCGGACTCCGCGGCAGCGGGCTCCTCGGTGGTGGTCTCCTCGGTGGCAGGCTCGGTGGCAACAGGGGTGGTCGCGGCGGCGGAGCTCTCCTCGGTCGCGGTCTCCTCGGTGGAAGTCTCTTCGGTCTCGGTGGTAGGGGTGGCGGCCGTGGACGAGCCCACGTTGGCGGGTCCAGCGCTGCCCTTGACGAGAGCGGAGACACCGGTGGCAGCGACGGGCTCGACGAGGTAGTCCTTGAGCTTGGAGAAGGTAGACAGGGCGGTGGTCTCCTTGAGAGCCTTCCAGGTACCGCTGGAGGAGTCGACGCTGTTGACCTGGCAAGCACGGCCGATGGAAGAGGTGCAAGAGCTGGCGGACGAGGCGTCGGGGACGTTGAAGCTGTTGGAGTAGGCCTCGCCATCGTAGGGGGTGTCGACGGACTCGAAGGCGTTACCCTCGATCAGGGAGACGGTGCCGGAGTAGAGCTCAAAGGAGTGGCCCTTCATGTTGGAGAACAGGTTGTTGGTCGCCTGGAAGGTTCCCTTCTCGCCGAGCTTGGGGGCGCGGCCGGAGACGTCGTGCCAGTAGTTGCGATCGAGGGTCATCTGGTCGCCGTCACCGTTCAGCATCATGGTCCAGTAGTGGTTGCCGTTGCAGGAGGCAGAGGTGGTGGTGACACCGTCGAACTCGTTATTGGAGATGGTGGCGCGGGAGCCGTCGTAGTGGCTGACGATGAATTGACGGCCGACCAGAGAGATCTTGTTGTGGTCGATCCAGACACCATCGTTGCCTCCCTACAGGAATGTTAGCAATCGACACAGAGTGATTCGAGAAGTCAAATAGAGGTTTACCTGGAGATCAATGGCATCACCTCCCCAGACAACACCGGGGTTGAGGTTGGTGATGGTGATGCCCTGGATGATGACGTTCTTGGCGTTCTTCTGGATGCGAAGACCCTTGCCGTTGAGAACACCCTTGCCGTTGGAGCCGATGATGCTCTTGTTGCTTCCGACAACCAGGGGCTCGGTGCCGGCGACGTCGTACGTGACAGTCGCGACGGTGTTGTCGCTGGTTCCGCAAGACAGGTCTCCGAGGTACAACTGTCCACCGTTGGTGGAGCTGCAGCTCTTGCGGTCGCATCCCGCTCCAGAGGCCGACTCGCCGGTGAAGTCGTACTCCTTGTCGATAACAATGGTGCGGGCGGTGTCGTCGGAAAGCCACTCGGCCAGCTCTTCGGCGGAGGACGGGGTGGCAGCCTTAGCGCTGCCACCGCCGGTGACGCCGGTGGCAAAGCCGTACGCCGTGCCGACGACCGACTGAGCGGAGGCCGTGCTGGCGGCAGCGGCAGCAAGGATCACGGATGCTGAGAAACGCATTGTAGCGGGATGTGGGGTGGAACGAATGTGGTTTTTGTTAAAGAACGGATGCGTGAAGTCGATAAACGAATGACTCGATCACGCCGGCGCGAACTTGAGTCGAAGCTGAAGTTAACACTGGAAAGAGACGTCGAAAAGGAGGTTGACACAGAGAACCAAGAGATCAGCTCATCGCGAACTACCTTCGTACTTTAATAACAAGTCTAAACAGTGAGGCTCGAGCAGAATCCGATAAAGTGGCCAAGGGCCCACACAGCGGCAAGACTACCAAAACCGGGCGGCTGTTTGGTGAACTAAGCCGAAAGTGAGAGCCAAGACTCTGGGCAGCGGGTAGGTGGATTCAGGAACACCTAATATCAAGTTTCTTACTCGCCATAGCTGGCAAGGCCCCGTACTGGCGCATGCAATCAACGACCCCTTTCATTTGAGCGAGAGTAAGAGAGAAACCAACTCCGGAGCTATCCGCTGCGATCAGATTCCCCAAGTAGGATGGACCTACGCAACCACGTTTACTTTCTCGGGTTTTACCTACGGTAGCGGGAAAATCCCGACTTCATACTAAGCCTATGTAGCACGAGCTTCAATCAAGTTGAAACAATGACGCTTGACCTGTAGCCTCTGAGGCTCTCCGCCAATACTTTCCTAATTCCCCGCCAGTAACCCATAGGCTCGGTATCGCTAACACGTCCTCGTGGTTGGCTGATCGGCTAAGTTTTCCAGTTCTGTACGAACACTGCACTGCGCTTCTTTGAGTAATCAGATTGATGGTTGACGCTGACGATCATGATGCCATCACGAGCATATCTGCGGCGTACCGAAGCGCCTCCTTGCATGATGCAGCATGAAAGAATGGCAAATTTTTGGTCTTAGTAGTCTCAACTCGATAGTCTCACAATGATTGGATGGCACTTACGGAGCATTGATTCATCGTTCATCAACAGAAGCCCCAAATCTCCTCCCAATATGGCGTCCAACCGCTCCCGCCCCTGACGAGGATTGATCCCAGACCATCTCCGCGCCCTGTGTCTGGGTAGGTCAATATCATCCTGGCGGTTTGTATCCCGTTCATCTCACTGAAACTTGCAGAGACCGCCACTATCGAGTCGCGCGGAAGTGCGATAGGGACTCATTTTGACAGTCTGGTTGACACAGAATATAAAGTGAGACGGTCCGTGAGGATCTCGCCGTAAGGAACTGAGGCTTCTTCTGCTAAACTAAAGAAATAGAAGTTCTGGCCTTGTAGCTGTCAAGGTCCTGAGGTTAGAATTATCGGGCTCCACGCATGATCTTCGTCTCCTGCGCCGTATTGCCAGAACCGCGCCGATTAAGGCTACCAACATCACACAATTGCTAGTCAAGGCCCGGGCAAGAATACCAAGAACGTTGAGAAGGACGTAGTCTCAAGAAATCTAAGGCCAAACGGCGAACGCCACCGATTGCTTATAGACACGCCGGAGTCCAAGGCCTGAATGTATGTTACCCGTAAACTTTGCTGTCCTAGGATAGCGGAAAGCGTTCTTGACATTTCGCAATGATGGATAGTCTCCACCTATCCACCCGCACTGAGAATCTTTTCGGTTCCATTTATAGACAGTGAGTCCAGGTCTATCCTCGTAGTCGGGAGGCTAGACTACAAGGAAGATCGGCGGGGGCCTGCTCAAGTGGTAGCTGCATGCTGCACAATCACCTGCAGAATACCCGCAATACGACCATGGGACTTACCGACATTCGCGAGAACATGAAAAGATTTACTGTTTTCTGACCATCACCAAAGCCCGCCGCTTTGAATAGCTTGCTTCTTTATAAACCCTCCGATGAGGACCATCACTCCTCAAGGCCTTGGTGGCCCACAGCTGATTTCTTTTGGAGTAGGCCACAAAAGTCTACTGCGTCATCTGGCGCCCCAGCGACCATATGTGATGACAGAGGCTACGCTAAAAAGGCAGACGTCTATTGAAATAGGTAACAACAAGCTCTGTCATGATTTCGTACTAACAGAGAACTCCATTACGTATCAAGGGTTCCCAATAATCGTCCTCATTCACCTTCCATTCATCAGTCAACTTCCTGACCTGATAGTTTGTGGCCCATCCCAGCTCTGTTTCGATGTCAGAGAGCAGCCTGAGGACCAATTCCTGCTCCGGTCGTTCGTGGAATGACTGCCCCGCAACAAATAGTGGCTGCACGGAGTGGATACGGACAGCATCCGGGGGATCTGAAAGGCTGATCCCGCATATCTCCTTGCCGTGTCGGAGAACCTCCCTTTGAATGAGCCGGTATGACCTCAGACGCGCTGACACTGTCGAACGGATCGCTGTCGATTCTTGCGGCCGATTAACTAGTAGCAAAATGCAGGCCATGTGATAGCTCTGCATTGTTGCTGCACACATGGGTATGTCGTACCATATCATCTCCATATCCTTGACATTTTCTCCGCCCTCCGTCGACGTCGTGTACTTGGTTCTGGCACTCGGGGCAAAAGTTGGCGGGAGGCTTTCGTACCATCTTTGCAGCTCCATCTCAAGCTTCTCCCATCGCTGGAGGAGCAGCTCTTGTGTGACCCCAAGAGACATGCGTTGGCCCGCTGGTCTGGAGTAGTCTTCCGGTATGATGCCATCTCCCGAGGTAATGAAGTTTACAACCTTTCCGAGGAGCCAGAGGAGCTCGTTGCTTTTCGAGTCTTCGTCTACGTCGGTCGAGGCACGGATATCGGCGGTACAAAAGGGGCTGAAGGGGAGGAGGAGGCTATTTTCGTCTGTCGCTAGGCCAAAGTTCTGCCAGAGGCGAACGTGGTCGAGGTTCAGACGAGTTTGCGTCTCGCTGATGACTATTGTCAATCATTCGATTAGTTTTATGGTCCTTTGCATAAAGAAGAGACGCCACCAAAAGGACCTACACGCGCAGAGAAAGTCCTGCCTAGCCAAGCTCCAGAATATTGGCCCCTTGATTGGGGACTGTGGGATGGGTACTGGTGAGCAGCCAGTAAGGTTACTGTCTGACGCAGAATACAGGGGCAGAGCCGTCAGATGCGCCTTCCATGCGTTCCCCGGAGCATTCATCAGCTCATACATGCACAGAATGGCAACTGCAGCGAAGGTATCGGTGTGTCGACCACCGTCCATATCTCGGGTATTATCGTATCCACCGAGAGCAATAGCATGCTTCAGGCAGCGGATCGCTTGGTGGTAGTATCGGACGGCGTGGTATTGCCAATCTGGTGTCCTGGAAGTCGGAGAGCTAAGTGATGCTCTAGCGCTGCGGGTAGATTGTTTCTCGCAGTTGTCGCTTTGAGTTCGTGATAGATGCTTCGCCGCTAGGGCGCAAATGGCTGATTTGAGCAGGGGCCGTGTAGTTGCTCGTATTGGTATCTTGCAAGAGAAGTGGGCACTTGTGTCGAAGAGATCCATCCTATTCGCACAAATTAGTCCATAACTATCTTCACTGAAGAGATTCGCTGTACCATTGCCCTGGACCTTCTCGGAAGTGTCTAAGAAGTTGAAGCCCAAGGACACTTGTTTCTGGGTCGTTGATGTCTTCATCCACAGGAACATCATCGTCTGCTTCGAGTATCGGTGGTGTGTAGACAACAGAGCTTCGAGGGCCCCTCTCTGTAGGAGGAGATACAGTTCCGAAAGTTTCGATGTTACTGTCGTTCAACAAGATATCTGGTGTGTTTGGAACTTCTCGCGGAGGCTCTTGAGCGCAATCTATCCGAGACACCGCGTCAGGATCAAGCTGGCTTCCTGAATCTTGCGAGGGAGGCGTCGGTAAGGTGCTATCCCACCGGGCCGGCGGGATATCGTCGGAGCGAGTATAAGTAAGTCCATCACCTGCATGCCGCAATAGCAATTCGTCTTCGAAAGCCGTCGTGTCATCTTCGTATGGGTTTGCGATGTTCACAAACGTAACTGAGGGTCAGTCAGGAACCTCTCCGTCCACTACAGAGTTGAAGCCAGATTGTACTTACGGTCGCCGGGAATGTCAATCCAAACATGGTCTTTGGCAAAGAGTCCCTCAGTTACAGCACGCCCTGCTAATGTCTTCTCTTGTCCTTGCCCAAGCAGACCTTGGACGTCGAAATGGCGGAACTTCGTGTCTTGTGAAAAGATGCATTCTCTGTCAGATTTCGTACACTGTCCGCACGTAGGCTTGGCTTCGTCACACTTGAGCTTTCGCTGTCGACATGTCAAGCTGCACAAGGTTAGTGCAAGCTGGCTTGCTGAGCAGTTGACAACGTGAGGGCCCACCATCCATGATGCGAGCGCATGTTGTCTAGAGCCCCAAACAGGGGGGCGTAAGCCAGGATGTCTCCTATTGGAAGACGTCGAAAAACTTGCCCGCACTAGACTGGAGTTGGAACGAACGCGGCATTTTGCGCGAGACAAGAGTCCGATACTTTCGAGGCCGTGAATCAAAGTCCGGCTGGTTGTTCGGACACCGACATGAAGAGTTTGTGGAGAGGGAAACAGATACGAGAGTATGGGTTGTTATGCGGGACAGAAGCAGGAAATCGTTCCGGTGGAACACAAGAACACGTCAGTGCGGGGACTTAGGGAACTTCCAGAGCGTTGATGGTCTGGAACCTCAACAGTAGTGTAAGCGAATGGAATCCAATTCTCAAGTGATCCACGGGGTGTTTCAAGTCTTTCCAAGGGCGCGGATACTAGCTGCTTGGTGAATCGCATTAGCATAGTCCCGTCAGCTGCACCTGCAGGTTGGCGAGAAGCCGGTCGACTTATTCTTCGCCGCTTAGGGTAAACCAACAGGACAAGTGCTTATAAGGTCCGTATTGTTGTTGGCTTCAATCATGCAGGTGATGATAGTTCACCATGTACCTTATGGGTCAATGGCGCCGTATGATATGGAAGCGAAAAAGACGTTTCCGAGTGTATCAAGAGCCCGGTGGACGTGAAGCAACATGAAGTCGGCAATATTTCCTTTTTGGAGAGGCGACGGTCCCTGGGTACAGTCAGCAATAGTCAGACAGGTGAGGCTTTCGGCAAATTTCCCTTTTCGAACTGAAGCGCTTATTCTGCCTAATCCGGCAGCGCAAGTGGCGCAATATGATCCGAGTCAATCTCGGATTCGCTTTTCAATCTAGTAGCAGCTTTGCCGAACTTACTCAGCAGTCGGCAGCGATGTTGCAACTGACGCCAGCTGGAAAAGTTGCCGGCCATTCCAAAGCTGGTAAATCCGACGATGTCTGGCGATGTGTGAAAAGGGTGCGCACGAGGACCTTGAGAACTGGCAATCGAGCCGAGTCATTATCAACTACATGTCACAAGCACGTTTGCGGTGAAAGAGACCTTTTCACAAGCATGACCTTAAGAAACCCAATCATCGTGTCATGTGCGGCTCTTATCGGGTTTTCTCCTTGTGGGAAGACCGGTCGGCTCGATGCCTGATCGAGACATGATTAGAAATCTATGAGCAAAGCCAGACGCAGCCACCGGCTCAATATGCGGGCCCCAGAGATGTTTAAAGTATTCTGGACGGGCACAACCCACGGCCGCGCTGTCGGTAGCCAGTCTGTATTATAGCAGAATTCTCATCTGATAACTCAAAGCTCGAGTCTCCAAGAGAATGCAATTCACGAAGATGCCGGCGCTCTATGTCAGAGCGTCAATTGCCACGGGGGCCGTTATGATGTTATGGGGGTATGCTTCCTTCTTGATAATTGAGAAGAGTTTCAACTGATAAATGCTAGACTTGATACCGGTAGCATCGGCCCAATCACAGCAATGACAACCTTCACCGAGTCGTTTGGCGAGTTCTCGGCAACCGTACACGGAGCCATTGTCTCGACTCTTCTTATAACCGGAACGATCAGTGCCCTGCTTGCCGGCATGCTGGCAGACCAACTCGGCCGAATTGCCATGATTTCTACTGGCGCAGCCGTATTTGGAGTCGGAGCCGCCATCGAGTGTGGCGCTGTACACCTGGCAATGTTCATCGCTGGCCGAGCTATCAAGGGCTTGGGAACAGGATTATTCGTCAGCACCGTTGCCGTCCAGGTCTGCGAGATCACCCCGGCGAAGACGAGAGGATTCTGGGTCGCATTTTCCCAGTTCATGCTCACAGTCGGGCTTGCTTTGGGGTACTTCATGTGCTATGGCACAGGGCGCATTGCTGGGTCATCCGCTTCATGGCGAGTGCCCCTGGCTGTCGAGTCTATCCTTGGCTTTGGCTTTGCTGCGACAACTCTTCTCGTGCCGCCATCTCCCAGGTGGCTGGTGGCAAAGGGACGTGTCGAGAAGGCTCGCCTTGTCGTCTCGCAACTCGGGATCGGTCAGGAAGAGCAGCAAGAGATGCTAGCACAAAAGGGTCAAGTCACTGTCCACTCCCCCAAATTGAGCATGGTTCAAAACATACAAGAGACATTCAAAGACTTCCGCAAGGCCTTCTCTGGGCCGTACCGTTCCCGTACTGCTTTTGGGTGCCTCTTGTTGATTTTCCAGCAAACAAGTGGGATTGACGGAGTGTTGTACTACGCCCCGCTCATGTTCCGACAAGCAGGCATGGCATCCGAAGAAGCAACTTTCCTCGCATCTGGAGTCTCGGCCTTATTGATCATGGTGGTAACTATTCCGGCCACCATCTTCGCTGACAAGTGGGGCCGACGTACTTCGACTCTTGTGGGAGGCATCGGCATCACCATCATCATGTTCTTGATAGGATCGATGTACGCCGCGGACCTGGTCCATTCCGACGGCGGTGCTGGGAGATGGGTCGTCATCATTTCCATCTACATGTTCGCAATCGTCTTCAACATGACTTGGGCGATCTGCATGAAGGCGTTTTTAGTCGAGAGCCTCCCTCGTGAGACAAGATCAAGCGGCGCGGCGTTGGGGCAGTGTTCCAACTGGCTTGCCAACTTTGTCGTGGCACTGACCACGCCGCCATTCCTGGCTGCTTCATCCTACGGTCCCTACTTCTTCTTTGGAGGTTGCACGCTGCTCAGCGTGATCTTCTGCGCCATTTGGATGACTGAGACGAAGAATCAGAGTCTCGAAGCCATCGAAGCTGCTTATCTCCAGCGAAAGCTAGAGAAGACCGGGGGAAAGTCGCAGTGGAGTGTAAATGTTAATGAACAGACGACGGACACTTCGGAGAATTCTAGTGTCATCACTCCTCGCCGAGAGCGGGAGAGCTGGCTGGGTGTGGCGGCGGCAGCGGGACACGTCCATCGCAGCTAGGTTGCCGGCAAAATAAGTTACGAACAAAGAAGAGGCCTTTAAAGCACCTCTGTTGATAATCTGACGGATAGACAAAAAGATTGGGTCACATGGATGGGTATTTAAATAATAGATAGACGGATATGAGATTGCATTCTGCTTTCCCAGCTTCCATATCTCAACATGAGTCTCGGCAGGTGCATAAGTCTTTTTCGACACCACGAAGCCTCGATAATCGATTCCACCAGGGGAAGACTCGCGAAAATTTCACTTTTTCAATATCCCGTCGGCTTGTGAAGTTACCCCATGGGGTTCTCCTGGGATCTTGGAAACCAGTCCCACTTTACAGCGCTGCGCCATCGCCATCAGTTTCTACAGAGCTGCCAATGAATTCCCGGTTCTAATTCATTATGATATCATTCTTCTTATACATCAATACGTGAAACTTATGAAAGGAGACACTTACAGACCGTGAGTCCGTCGGGAAAATTGCCTTGGATTTGACTGGTAAGACCGGACGAACGGCAACCTACAGTCTCACCACCGAAGTAGAAAGGCACAAATCGATCAGTAAATCAAGTGTCATCTCTTTCAATCATACTTGCATGGCGATATTCCGGTCGGATACATATACGGTGCGTGCAGCTCCTCTGTACGATAGGGCTGCCGGATTGTTGCATTGTCGCCCTGAGTGTCAAGAGAAATTCTATTTGAGCTCACCTTCAATCAGACACCTGAGATTCTTCAACATACATATTCTTCAAGATACTCCATTTTGATCATTTGATTCGATTGGAATTCATCATGACACACGACGTTGACGTGCTAGTCGTTGGCGCTGGCATGTCCGGCATTGGCTTAGCCATTCAGCTCATTCGTCAACACAAGACAAGAAGTTTTGAGTTGATCGAGAAGTCAGACAGCGTTGCTGGGACGTGGTGGGTGAACTCATATCCAGGATGTGGATGCGATGTCAGTCAACCCTCGGCCTATAACGGGGTTCATACTCATGGGACAAACAGGTGCCATCTCACTTTTACTCATACTCTTTCGAGTTGAACCCGAACTGGTCTCAGAAATTTGCCTTACAGCCTGAGATTTATCGATATTTCACAGATGTGGCAGACAAGTATGACATCCCGAAACACGTCCGCTTCCGGCAAGTTGTGGAATCTGCCAAATGGGACAGCCCCTCGGGCACGTGGATCGTCACCATACGAGACTTGGAATCATCCCAGATCAGACAACGTCGCTGTAAGGTTCTAGTATCCGCAGTCGGAGCGTTGTCAATCCCGAAGAAGTGTGACATTCCCGGGGCATCTACCTTTCAGGGACGGATGTTCCATACCGCCGAATGGGACCATTCCTTTGACTGGAAAGGCAGAGATGTTGTAGTGATTGGTGGGTATGGTGCATCTGCCGTCTATAAGCACATGCTAATAGTCCTCAGGAAACGGCTGCAGTGCCACGCAAGTCGTTCCTGCGATCAGCGAAGGCAATGAAGCTGCCAAGAAAGTCACCCAGTTCAGTCGCCAATCCCACTGGCTGGCAGAGGGACAGAACCCAAAGTACTCCAACTTGTTTAAGTGGACTATGCAATGGGTGCCTTTTGCAATGCGCGCATATCGTGCGATGCTGTACTTGGAAAAGGAGAAGGGCTTCCAGGGCTTCGACACCGCCTCCGGCGCAGAGATCAGAAAAGGCTGGTCTGAGGAAGCCGCTGCTTACATTCGAACCAACTCTCCGGCAAAATATCGAGATTTCCTGGTCCCGAAGACGGAGATTGGATGCAAACGCAGGGTCAATGACACGGGATATCTCGCCAGCCTGCACCGCGCGAATGTCGACCTGATCTACGATGACCCAATCACTGAGATCACCAAAGATGGTGTTTGCACTTCGTCTGGCCGTCATGTTTCTGCCCATGCTATTGTGCTGGCAACCGGTTTTGATACGCAGAAGGTCCTGTCGCCGATGGAGATCTATGGCAAGGACGGTGTGAGCATCAACGAACACGTAAGTCTATCAATATCTACTTCTACTACCATGATTTAACCCATTGTTAGTGGGACATAGTTAGCGACGGCTCGCCCTCGTCTTACTTCGGTACTTGCCTCTCCGGCTTTCCCAATTTGTTCATCATGATGGGACCAAACACCCTCAGCGGCCATCTCTCTGTCATTTACACTACTGAGTGTCAAATCAACTTCACCATGCGCGCGATAGCACCGATTCTGAAAGCCTTGCACAGCCGTAGGTCTTTGCTCCCTGCAATGGGCAAGCTCACGGATGTCATGGAGGTTACACCCGAGGCCGAGATGCGGGACATCAATGAGACTCAGGACAAGGCTAAGGGTCTTGTGTGGGGGACTGGGTGCACCTCGTGGTTCATTGACCCGAAGACGAACAGAAACACCATCATGTTCCCGGACTGGCAGTACAAGTTCTGGTTTCGAAGCGTCTTTGTTTCGTGGAATGATCTGAGATACACCACATCCGCAGCTGCTACGAAGGAAGAACAAGGCGGTAGACTGGGCTTGGGCTTACTTGTGACTGTTCTGGCCGCCGGATTGGTCGCAGTCGGCGCCTATTTGTTCAACTAATGTCTTTATCAACATAAGGATGCTTCTTCAGAAGGCAGAATAGAATATGGTTGCAGGATATAGTTATCTATCATTAACATCATGATCACCAGTGGTGTCTGAATCTCGGCGTGGACTTGGCTCTGTATCTTGCAGCTTCCGACCTCGGTCTAGGTCAGCTGAAGGACTCGCTCCAGTGCACCCCTCTCACGTTCCTGGTGGCGTGCAGGTGGCAGCCCACTTCTGTCAGGAGAGATACATACAAGAGAAGGGCTAGAAGATGTACAGATCTACCTACCTAATACGGTCGAAAACCAACCGGTCGGAAAGCGATGCCATCTTCAGGTGACTTTCTCTTACTTCATCGGAAAGCGACACCTTCCAAACGAGATGTAGCCGTATGCATGTGGTCAGCGTATTCATTGACTCAGGTACACCGGCCCAGCTCTGGTCAGTCTCGCAACCCCGGTTTGTCTGGCTTCATATGCCGTCAGTGGGTCATAGGATGAGGCGATCGGGTGCCTGACCTGGACTTTGATGGCGCTCTTTCATGTTTTACTGGGGCGTAAGGCGTGCCCACCTGGGCGTGTTTGGTGGGTTTGACTAGCAAGGTCCGCAGTGGGGAGAGCTGGCAGCAGCATAGTTATCAATGTAGAATGCTATGCCGGCAGCGAGTCTTTCAACTGTGATCTGTCCCTCTGTTCTACGTACTCCTGGTACTTGGCTAATTTCTTTCACCTGTGGTAGAGCACGTATCGGTCATAGATCACGGCTTGGAGTTCGTGATCGGGCGGCCCGGTTCAGTGGATGAATACAGGGATTGACTGTATATACAGGGGGCATCATCGCTGGCCATGTGTCCGTGAGCGATGGACATCTCATCTCCACCTGAACTCAGCAGTTCAGCGTCCAATTATGTCCAAGATAACCTCAGTGACCTGTCTACGTCTATTCTCGAGGTCAAAGCACAGGGGCATCATCTTCTTGTCTGAACAGACAAATGATGTCAACTGACACAATCCTCAATGCCTTCAAGGTAGGTTGTGGGTGGAGATGAGCATTCAAGCTGCCAGATGTGGTTAGCAACTAAAGTCAGGCTTAACACAGGCCACCAGCTTATCTCAGTTGCGCGTGGCACTAACCCACGCTTCCCATACCTTCCCACATCCCCACGCTTCTCTTCATTCGGATCTTTTGTCCTCTGTTGACAATCGTACAAGCGAACCAGACGCTGTGTTCTCCGGAGATGTCTTCCTTCGTGACAAGCTTGCCGCGAGAGGCCCGGATAGCCGATCGGAGGCAAGTCTGGTGCATTGCGGCATTTTTCATGTTATCTTAGCTACGGTCTACAAACCGAAAGTCACTGACGGCCACAACGGTTCCCCCCTCATTGAATCCTGGAGTCTCGACATCATGACGAGCTCCGATAACGTCTTTGATATTCATCCTGTACAACCCAGTCAGTAACATCTCCTCTGTCCACCGCCATGTGCCCAAGCACCGCCGAATGTAACACTCGAGCAACCTTGCACCACCGACTCGCGCTCTTGTGCCTGGAACGCGCAGGAGCAGAGTGGTAGAGAACGGCCATGGGCATCCCACCCCCAGACTGTTGATACCACCTTGCGGGACGCACCTAGCACCAACACCGGACCCCCCACACAGGCTCAAGATGGTAGGTCGGAAGGCCGCACGCAATCCGGACTCGAACTATTGGCCCCCGCCCGGGCTGCGCCGTTCCATCCGCCTCGTCCCAACAAGGAAGCTCGCGATACCCTTAGCAGCTCATCATCGATGACCCAACCTTCATCGGCATGCTTCCTCCGCGACGGCAGCTATATCCATGAGAAGAGGGGTCCCAAGCGGAAATTGCTTTCTGCTTGCTCAAGATAACCGCACCTTATTAGAACGCCAAGCCTGCACCTCTGTCGCTTCCCACCTGGCCATTCTCTGTCTTGGCTTGCATCGCCGAGCGACGCCTTGCAACTCTGCACTCTCCCCGCCATGCGACGATGTACGAACGCACCAAGGGTAGCTAGCTGCTTGCCACCAATGGCTCTATCCAATCGACGTGATGTTGGATCCCCAGCATCACGTCTTTTACCGGGGAGATGAGCTAGGTAGCTTCCTCGGCCTCATCTCGACCCTAGCTTCTTGCATGGCGAGTCGCTCACATGGGGCCATTGTCGTCTTTTGCCCAGAGGGGCTCCATACGCGCAGTCTGCTCAGCTCTCCGAGAGAGCATGAGGGTGGCTACTTAACCACCCAGGCTCCTCGCGATGCTGGAGATTGAGCTCTGTTCCGGTAGCTTTGCGCCCCGCGAGTCTCCATCGCCTGTCAGAAAGCCGGCAAGATGCGCATCTCGGCCACCGTCTCAGCTTTCGTCCTCGCCCTCCACCTCGGTGGCGCTGCGGCACTTGTTCCTCGCCAGGAAGCCGGTGCCGACAGTGAGGCGATCGCTTATGTAGCCAAAAGCTTCATCATTGAATATGCTCCAGTGAGTGCCCGCTGCGAGGGCTGCCGCCCTAGGTTGTAGTCCCCAGCTGACACTCACCGTCTTCTAGGGATCCAGTGCGCGTCGTCGTCGCCAGAATGTCGCTTCTACCGACGGTATCACGGTCGTCAAGGAGTTTGCCAGCGATGTGTTCTCCGGCGCCAGCATCGAGACTGAGACGTACACGCTCGACACTCTGGTTGAACTCCCTGACATCCTGAACGTCTGGCCTAATGAGCAGGTCAAGCTTGGACCTGTGGAGCCCCAGGCTGTCGCCGTTGAAGAGGCGCCGGCTTATACTACGCATAACGCCACTGGCGTGACCAAGCTTCATGCCCAGGGTATCTTCGGCAAAGGCGTCAAAGTTGGTGTCGTCGACACCGGTATTTACTATGACCACCCCGCGCTCGGTGGAGGCTTTGGTCCTGGTTTCAAGGTCGCAGCCGGTTACGACTTCGTCGGTGACGGTCTGTATCCACAGAGCGGACCCAAGGCTCCCGATGAAGATCCCAAGGATACTCGTGGGCACGGAACTCACGTTGCTGGTATCATCGCCGGCAAGAATGATCTGTAAGGGCTTCGTCGTACTACCTGATGTGAGCTGAACTAACTGGCTATAGCTGGTCTGGCGTTGCCCCCGAAGCGACGCTTCACGCGTACAAGGTCTTCTCCAACGCAGCCTCTACGGATTCTGCCACTCTAATTGAATCTTTCCTCGCTGCCTACGACGACGGGGTTGATATCATCACCGCCAGTATCGGCGGTACCAACGGATGGTCTAACAACGCTTGGGCCGAGGTTGCTTCCCGTCTCGTCGATGAAGGTGTGGTAGTCACTATCTCTGCTGGCAACAGCGGATCTGCCGGTCCTTTCTATGGCAGCTCTGGCTCATCCGGCAAGAATGTTGTCGCCGTTGCCTCCATCGACACTGAGGTCTTCCCGGCGATCCCCTTCGAGGCCACTTTCGGCGACTCCGACACTCGCCGCATCGGCTACCTCCCAGCTGAGAGCTACTTCCCCAGCACCATCACCGACTGGCCCATCGTTGCTCTCAACACAAACACCGACGACCCCGCTGACGGCTGCGAGCCCTATCCTGAGGGAAGCCCCGACTTGACGGGCAAGATCCCCTTGGTCCGCAGAGGAACATGCACGTTCCAGACCAAGCAAGAGAACCTGGCCGCTCTTGGTGCCAAGTACATTCTGATCTACAACAACGCCTCCCCCATGACTACACCTGGTACTAGCAACACCGACTCTGAGATTGCCCTGATCAGCGCCGATTCTGGCGTCTCTATTATCGAGGCTATCAAGGCCGGAACTAACGTCACTGCTGACTTTTCCAACAACCCCGAAGCCCCTGTTGCCCTGGACTACCCTGCCGGTAACCGCCCTAACACCTTCACCAGCTGGGGTCTTCTCTGGGACAACCAGCTGAAGCCCGACGTCGCCGCTCCCGGAGGTAACATCTTCTCCACCTACCTCGACGGCAGCTACGCTATTCTCAGCGGTACGTCGATGGCTTGTCCCTACGTTGCTGGAGTCGCCGCCCTCTACATCAGCCAACACGGCGGCCGCAGCGTTCAGGGTAAGGGGTTTGCTCGCGCCCTCTCCCGCCGCATCATCTCCAGTGGCTATGCTCTGCCCTGGTCTGACGGTACCGCTACCGACTACGGATACACTGCTCCCCCGGCCCAGGTCGGCAACGGCATGATCGACGCCTGGAAGGTCCTCCACTATGACACCCAGCTTGAGTTCGAGAAGATCCAGCTCAACGACACCCGCTACTTCAGCCGTTACCACGACGTTACCGTCACCAACAACGGCGACTCGGAAATTACCTACAAGTTCTCCGTCCAGCCTAACGCCGGTGTAGATGCCCTTGCCTGGATTCCCGCTTCTGGCGGTCTTCCCGGAACCAAGCGCGTCAAGACTTTCGCCCAACTCTCTCCCAAGACATACACTCCCGACATCAGCCTGCCCCGTGACTTCACCCTGAAGGCCGGCGAGACCAAGACCGTCTCTGTTAACTTCAACAACCCGGACAACCTCGGCTGGAACATCACTGGCCTGCCTCTGTACGGAGGCAAGGTCCTTATCCAGGGCAGCAACGGCGAGCAAGTGTCTGTACCCTACGCCGGCGTTGGAGCTGATCTTCGCAACACCCTCGGTGGTGTACACGAGGCAGGATGGCCCATCTCCGTCTCTACGACTGAGGAGATCGACATCAGCGAGAAGTCTTCGTACACCTTCGACCTCAGCACCGGCGCCCAGGACTTCCCCAAGATCTTCCAGAAGCTCCTCTGGGGATCCCGCCAGGTCCGTTGGGACATCTATGAGGCAGGCTGGACTGAGCGCCAGTGGACTTACCCTCCCGTCGTCGGACAGAACGGCTACATCGGATCGGCAGCTTCCTGGGTTGGCTCTGGCGAGGTTGAGGTGTTCGACCCGGAGCAGTACGACCCCGACGAGACTTTCACCTACCCCATCACTGACATCTACCGCAACACGGCTGCGAGCTACCACG